TGAATTCTAGATTCAAAGGTTTGATTTTTTTCTTCAGTGCTTTAAAGATGTTGCTCCTCTACAGTCTTCTTGCTTTCATTGTTTCCAACAAGAAATCTCTATTCTAATTTTTTTCTTCTGTATGTAATATGTCCTTTTTTTCCTCTCTTTTCTTTTTTTTTTTGGCTTCTTCTAAGATTTTTCTCTTTACCATTATTAACCAATTTGATGATGAAACATCTTGGTGTAGTTTTCTTCATGTTTCTTATGGCTTGGGTTTGTTGAGCTTCTTGGATCTGTGGACTTACAGTTTTCTTTCTATTTGGAAAAGTATCAACTATTGTTTCTTCAAATATTTCTTTCTATGCCTCTACTTGATATACTAAGTATTTCCTTTACCTTATTGACCATATTGAATATAGTTATAATAACTGTACTAATGTCCTTCTCTACTAATTCTGTTATCTGTATCATTTTGGGGTCTTTTCCAATTGATTGATTTTTTTTCTTTTTTCTTTTTCTTTTTCTTTTTTTTGCGGTGGGGGGAGGATTGGCAGAGGGAGAAGAAGAGAGAGATCTTAGGTAGGCTCCATGTCCAGTGCGGAGCCCAAAGTGCGGCTTGATCTCACAATCCTGAGATCATGACCTGAGCAGAAATCAAGAGTTGGATGCTTGACCAACTGAGCCACCCAGGTGCCCCTCCAATAGATTGATTTTTATTCTCATAGGTCACTTTTTCCTGCTTCTTTGCATGCCTGGTAATTTTTTATTACATTCTTGACATTTTGAATTTGACTTTCTTGGGTGCTGGATATTTTCGTATCCCTAGAAATATTTTTTGAGCTGTATTCTGTGATATAGTTAAATTATTTAGAGTAGTTTTTTCCTTTTGAGACTTGCTTTTAAGCCTTGTCAGGTGATCAGAGCTGCATTTTGTCTAGAGCTAATGTTTCTTCACTAGTAAGGTAATAGCCTTCTGAGTATTCTACTTAATATGCTGTTAGTTAAAGAATTTAAATTAAAAAAAAAAAAAGAACTGTCCACTCTAACTAGTTTGTGGGAACACGACTGATTGCAGGCACTGTGTGATCGCCACTCTAATCTTTTTGGGTTGTTTTTGCTTCAGCCTCGGGTAGTTTTCTCACATGTGTGCACTGGTCAGGATGTAGCTGACGACTCAAGGGGGACCCTTTACGGATCTTCAGAGTTCTCTCTTGCTGTCTCTCTTTTTCTCTTTCTGAGCAGCTCTCTCCTCTCCAGCACTCTGCCTGACAAACTACACACCTCAGCCTCCCTGGGCTCCCAGATCCATTTCCTCAACTCAGGAAGACAGTCAGGCTCTGCCCAGGTCCTGCAAGCTTTCTAGGCAGTGAGCTAGGATAATTGCAGGGCTTTCCTTGTTTCCTCTCCCTCGGGGATTGCTGTGCTGCCCTGCTGATGCCCAGGGTCTGAAGCCATTATTTCATATACTCTATTTGAAATTTTAGTTGTTCCAGGCAGGAGGGTAAATCTGGTCTTTGTTACTCCATCTTTGCTGAAAGAGAAAATTTCACACTTAATTTTAGTTTTGAGGACTGGAACAAGCATGGAGTGAGATGAATATAATCTAACTGAGCAGAAAATCTTTATCCTGAGCATAAACCAAGATAAGACGAAAGGTATCACTTTTATTTTGGTGAAAAACAAAAATTTTTTTTAATGTCCTTCTGTTTTCTGGATATCATTTCTGGAGAGGAAAAAAAAAAAACCCCAACCAACTTTATTATAACATTACAGAACCCGGAATAAATTACAGCTAATTCTTACCGACAGCTTTTGTCGGGGCTCCTAGCAAAAGGGAACTGAAATGAATGTCATTCAATAAGTCAAATTAGCATTCCTGAAATAGGATGACTGTTGGATTATATAATGCTATCAATAATTATGAGATTTAACTTGAAGACTTCAGTCATGAGATTCATAAGTCACAAGAATGATATGGTCACATGTTTCATAAATGGGCTAATAGCAAAAACCCTTCTAAAACGAACCTCACTATTCCCCTTGATTGCCTCAAACAGGCCTTTAGCCCCAAGAATAGCTCTGGGAAATGTGTCCACCCAGGATCAGAGTACTCAGTGCTTCCTGGCTCTTAACCTGCTTGGTCCCTCAGGATCTTAACAGGAGGTTAGTTTGGGTCTTTCCTAGATACCAAGAGGCATATGGGCGTGCTCCTTATTCAATAGGTCAAAAGTCAACAAAAGTTTGTAGACATTAGGACCCTTAGAGTTTTTTTTTTTTTTTTTTTTTTGCTGTATAGACATTGGAGAGGAAGTGGTTAGACTAGTTTATTTTTTTCCCAATCAGAATGTTTACATGAGCCAGTCCTGCTAATGGCCAGAGAGCGTAGCCTTATCTTTCACTGACCTTTGTAATCCCAGTTTGTTGTAAGGGTTGGTGGTTGGAGGAAGCAGGGAGAAAAATGTCATTTTCTGATTTAAAAAAATTTTTTTTATATTTTCTGCTATTTTGAGTTTTAGTCCAATTACACCATGCGCTATTCCAAACACAGTATTCATGCTAGAGATAGAGTATTGCTTGGCTCCAAGATGAGCACTGTGTTTAGGAACGAGCATCAGTGGAAGTCAAATTAGCAAGTTGTGTATCTCAACAGAATGCTCAAAGCAAAACAGCAGCCAGATTGAGTCTTGGGAACAAAAACAGAGAGAGGAATGTAATTTCTCACTTCACCAAGTTGTATGTGCATGTGCGTGCGTGTATGCGTGCGTGCGTGTATGCGTGCGTGCGTGTGTGTGTGTTTATGTGTATTGATGAGTTAAATGAGCCTGGCAGCCAGTGGCCATGACTAGTGAACAGAGAGGTCATCAGGAAACCGTCCCCCATCCTAGCAGGCCTCCCGCTAGTTTTTCATTTTCTTCATGGCCCACGTCCTCCAGTTTGCCCAGCATGGAAACCTCATCTTCTGCTCTGAACTTTTCCTTGCTCCAAAGAGCAGACCGGTCCTCAGACCCTCTCAGCTTGTGTCTGCAGGCACCACCCTTTGCCCTCTCTGAAGACCTCCTGGTCCTACCTGGACCATCAAGGCAGTCTCCCCAAGACCCCTGACCTCCGTTCTCCACGCCCTTCCTCACCCTAGTCTGCAGATTGCTGCTGGGATGATCTTTCTGGAACCCAGTTCCGCTCGCAGTGAACAGGGCTCCCCTCTTCAGAAGTTACCTTGGATTTGGAAACAATCCCAGGTCATTATGGGTGGATGGTGAGGGGCCTCCCCTCTGTTTTCTAAACTTGTTTCTTGTGACCCCTTGCTGAGAACCTCACACTTCAGCATCACCTGAATCCCTCCCACCTCCTCCCTCCTCCAACACCGCCACCTGTGGGCTTTGCTTCCTGGAGTGTGCCCTTGTATTCTTGGCTGGGGCTGCTGGGACAGTACCATGGCCCAGGTGGCTGAAACACAGAAACTTCTCATCCCACAGTTCTAGAAGCCAGAAGTCCGAGGTTAAGGGGTCGGCAGAGTTGTTCCTTCTGAGGGCTGTGAGGGAGAATCTGTTCCATCCTCCCCCCCACCCTTGCTTAGGGGTGTTGGTTGGCAATCTTTGGTGTTCTCTAGCTTGTAGACCTCTGCCTTCATCTTTGCGTGGGGCTCTCCCTGTGGGCGGACCTGTGTTCACATTTTATGCTTTTTCTAAGAGCATCAGTCATCTTGGATGAGGGGCCTACCCTACTGTAGAATGACCTCATTTTAACTCATTACACCTGCATCGATCCCTCTTCCAAATAAGGTCACATTCTGAAGCAGTGTGGGTAGGGACTACGGTGTCTGTTTTGAGGGGACACAGTTGCGCCCGTGACAACTGTACTCCTCTGTTGAACAGGAGTAGAGGGTTGGAAGGAACGCAGAGCGAAGAGATATGATGCGTATTCATGTGTTAAAGATCTGAGCAGTGCTGTAATAAGGAACCTAGCATTTCCAGACTTACTGGACCAGCGCCCCCTTCCCCTATTTAAACCACCAAACTAGGGCGCCTGGGTGGCTCAGTTGGTTAAGCGACTCCCTTCGGTTCAGGTCATGATCCTGGAGTCCTGGGATCGTGTCCCGCATCGGGCTCCCTGCTCAGCAGGGAGTCTGCTTCTCCCTCTGACCCTCCCCCCTCTCATGCTCTCTATCTCATTCTCTCTCTGAAATAAACAAATAAAATCTTTAAAATAAATCAATAAATAAACCACCAAACTAGAGAGCTGCGGAACACACTCTGGGAAACACTATTCTGTCCTGGACTTCTGGATTTATGAGGCCTTATGGTCCAGAAGGCTGAACCATGGCTGAGAGACCAGAGCAGGAGAGGAGAGCTGTCCGTCCCTTGGGCCGGACACCCTGTGACCTTGAGGGAAGGGCACAGCAGTGGGGCTCTGGTGGGCCAGAGGGGCAGCAGAAGGGCGAGGCCCCCACATGCCTGCAGTTTGAGCGCCTTGCTCTCTGCCGGGGACCCTCTGCTCGCCTGCGCACTGCTCAGACCTCTGGCCCAAGCCCCTCTTGCTGTGCCCCACCTTCCAGATCACAGCCAGGCGACCTCGGGGCATGCCTTTTTCTATCACTGAAGCATTTCAACCACTTCCTGGCGAGATTTTCTTAACAACTACGGGCAAATAGAGTCGCCATCCTACTCGGGGGGACTCAATTTTAGAGATCCCCGTGGAGGAAATTCTATTTCAAGAAAGTGAAGATTTAATTAAATAAATACACATTTCATTTCCTGTGTGTGGTAGCTTTCAAGAGACAATCAGTCATTTACTCTAGAGTGTGTGTTCCGGGCACTCATTAACCTCCCAATGCCACCAGCTCAGCAGGGGTTGGCCTCAGAAAGATGTTTTTCCGATAATGGATAACTCCGCAGCAGGGTCCCATCCTTTAGTGATGTTACAGGGGTTCTGTGTGCCCAGCCTTCCCGAGCGGTAGCCGAAGCTTATGGGGGCGGGGATGGAGAACGTGAGTAACACGGCTTCTGTGTTTCTCCACACAGCTGATACCCATGTGGTTGCCAATGATTCAGTCAAACATCAAGGTAAGTCATCGCTGGGTGGACCGGAAGCTCAGTCCCCTCCAGAGAAGGTCTTAACATTAACAGGGCCCCCTGACACGCCACTTGCTGTGGAGAAAGGTGACTTCACCCTGCTCCTGGCCTCATGGGGCTGACACAGGGGGAGAGGCTGTGGGCCACAGATGGGGCCTGCAGGCTGAGGCGACGGCAAGAGCCACGGTTGTGCTGTTCGCGATGGATGAGGATGTGAGTGGAGGGGGGAGTCCGAGTCTGAGCGAGGCTCGGTTCCTGACTAGAATACAGGCCTGCCCCACCTTCTGAGGACGCCCGTGGCATCCGAGCCCAGGCACGTTCAGTGCTCTTTCCTGGCCACTAAAAGAGACTTTCTGTGGGGCACCTGGCTGGCTCAGTCAATAGATTATGTGACTTGATCTCAAGGTTGTGAGTTCAAGCCCCACACTGGGGGTAGACATGACTTCAAATAAATAAAATAAATAAACTTTAAAGAACAATAAAATGGACTTTTTGTGACAGGAAGAATTCTATTAAGAAAGGCTAACATTGAATTTATGACAGAACAGCCAGAAAAGAAGGGGCCTGCCCCCTTGTTCTACCTATGAGGAAACACGGGACCAGAAAGAAGAGTCACTTGGCCGGGGCCCCACAGCCGGAAAGGGAAAGACCCTATCCGTGTGTCTTTTGCATCACCAGGCCCCACCTTGAGGGACGCATCGTCATTGTTGAGCCAGACATACTCCATGACTAGTCAAGGTTCCTGGGGCTTGACGTGATGATGGCAGAGCTAGCCACCTGCTCTACCCAAAACTGGGCTCTGTCTACGGCCCTCGGAGTGCAGGGCAAGCAGCGGGGGGAGAAGGTGGACACCTTCTTGCTGATTTTCTTCTCAGAGTCAGGGAGGGATGTTAGTGGATAGAAGGGGACCGACCTCAAGGTCCCCAGACACCAAGAGAGAAATGGAGCCGTCAACAGTGACTTTCAGGCTTTGAGTCCGGGGTCATGGTGTCGGTGCCATTTGTGGCCACATGTGGGGGTGCCGCTGCTGAAAACCTTCTCTCATACTTTTCCTGTGAAAACAGTTGCTTGTTCCAGATTGCCCCTCCCCCTGCTTTCTGGAAATCCGGAAATCTGAGGCCAACAGAGAGGTTACAACCTAGCCTCTTCATGTGCATTACCATGAGAACAGAGAGACTCTAATCATGATTAAAATGTAACGAGCAACTATTATGTGCCAGCTTCTGGTCCAAACCCTCCATTAAACTCACCCTTAAAAGAAAACCCCATGAGGTGTTACTATGCCCAGTTCGCCCATGAGAAAATCCAAACACAGACGGAAAAGCCTTGTTCCCAGAGTTGTCCCCAGAGGAGCTAGGATCTGGACCCAGGGAACTGGCAGCAGAGCGCAGGCCCCAGGCCCATGTGGTGACCGGCTCCTGGGGGACACGTATGTGTGTCCGCCCCTCCCCAGCGTGTCACCTTTATGTTCCCCTTGCAGCGAATGAGTCGGGATGGGAATGGTGTTACTTGCATGGATCTGGGCCAGAGTGACTTTAGAATCCCGGGCACTGGCCCGCGTCCCCCACCCTGCCCACCACCAAACGTGAGAGTTGGCCTCCCTGTTCAGGCCCGACGGCCCTTGAGCCACGTAGGAGAGTCCTGCCCTTGAGCCACGTAGGAGGGTCCTCCCTGTAGGAGAAGCCCGGGCTGGCGCTCCCTTGGGTGGGCTGCGGACACTGGAAGGAAAGAAACTAAACTCGCTGTCTCTCCCTTCCTCATCAGCACTTATCGGCCGGACTCCAGCTTCGCCTCCAGGCCATTCAGAACAACGTGAACCACCACAGCCTAAGGATGCTGCCCGGCTCGGCCCCGAGCAGCGCCGGCCTCGTGGCCCTCCGCAAGTGGCTGCAGTGTACGCAGTTCAAAATGGCCCAGGTGGAGATCCAGTCCTCAGATGCGGCCTCACAATTTTACCCTCTATGAGCGGCCCCCTCGGCTCTCAGTGTCAACACTCTGGTTTAGCAATAATGGGTTTCAAAACAAAACAATTTGATCCAAGCAGGTTGGGGAACATATTGGTACTGTACATTCTCTTTCTAGTTTAGTAAAAAAAAAAAAAAAGACGTGCAAAGGCCAGAGAGGGCCAAAAAATGAAGCTTTCTTGCTACACATCTTTCTGATGACTCCTTGGGCTATCTGATTAAGTGTTTCCTTACATTATTTTTTAAAAAAACCAAATCATTTTTCTTTAACTAACTTCTATTTTTTTTAAGAAAAAAAAAAACAATAGACTGGTGGGTACTCACAGAAAAGTTGTATAAGTCCCCCTGTTGCTATTTTTGATGATAGAGAATAAATAGGGTTTTTGAAACCTTTGTAGTGTTTTTTCTTAAAATCCACTCTTGGCAATGCAATAAAAAAAAACCCCGTCACCATAAGCCAGTGACACTTGACTGAAGCTTTTTGTCATTATCCTGGGAAAAGTGGCAGCTTGCAAGGACCATTACAAAGTGCACTTAGAAATTAGGTGGTTAAACTGTGCCAATTGTTTTTCTTTGTTTTATAATATCGTTTTCCAAAACTGTCCAGTAAGTTTTATTATTTTTAAAACTAATTTTTCAACTCATTAGTTCTAGGCTGTACTTTCTTGTAAGCTTTATGAGAACCACTTTAGTTTTGTGAATAATAAATTTTATTCTTTTGTTAATCCTTGTATACAATTCAATTTAAAACTGTAGATTGCATACTGGACCAGATGACCCCCCACACTGGCACAGAGCACTGCACCTGGAGTTATGTTTCATAAAATGGGATTTTAATAGTGTAAGAGCACCAAGATTTATCAGCACTTCTCCTTAGCATTTGACTGTGCATTCACAAATGATATTTCTCTTCTCTATCCCTGTAATGCACTGACTACAAGAAGACTTACTATACATTTAAGCTGTATATTGACATGCTATTAAATGCATTTTTTTTATTATCTTTGTGAGCCTGGGGTTTTTTAAAAATCAGTTTATACATTGCTTGTAAACTTTTAAAACTTCTAACTTCCCTTAAAACTAGAGGACAGCCATTGAGAGCAAAAGGCTTGCTTTCTTTCTGGGAAGAGAGAGACACAATTTATTTGAGGTCTGTTCTCCAGGAAGGACCTTGAGGGCCTGAGGCAATGTTATTTATGTATTTATTTTTTTTAAGTGTTGGTTGTTATTAAGAGGTCTCTCTTTTCTGCTGGGAAGTCAGAGGCCTTCATGCTTCTCCGGGAAACAAGTCCTCAAATGTTGAAGTGTTTCATGTGAGTTCTGGAAAGACAATGTGGCAGAGCTTCATCCCTATGAGGACTTGCAGGGAACCAGGCGGTCCCTAGATTAAGAATGTAGAAATGATCATTCTTCCCATTTTACAAAGTTGCTCTTCCGAAAGGCCTCCCCCCTCGGCGAGAATGCTCCTCGTTGTGCTTGGTTATGCCCCCGTCACCGTTCTGACTTCTATAGAAAGTTGTGCATGTATTTATCTCACTTGTAAACTGTGACAGCTTAGAGGGTATGTCCTGTCTCTGTATCCCCAGGGTCTGGCCCGTACCGCCAGTGTAGTTAATGTCTCTTGAACAGAATGGATTTGATTAAGCAACAGGTCTTTCTTGAGCTCCCCAGTGGGCTCAGCAAGGGCTGAACTGTGACATTTTCTTTTTGAGCAGCGATTCCTGGAGGGGGTAACGGAAACAGGCCTGCGGAGTTGACCTTGGCTCCTTCCCATGTGGGGGTTTGGCTGACACCCCCCTGACGGCTTAGCTACAGCCCGACTCTTCGCTCATCCTGAGTCCGCCCCGCTGCAGGCAGCCCCGTTCCTACCAGTAGACAAGGTCCGGAGTCCTCCACAGGCTCTTGTCCAACCCCGGTTCTTTCAGTGGACTGCTGCCTTGGTTTCTCTTTATATTCGCACTCCCTTCCCCCAAGGGCTGGAGAGGAGCCCTCAACCCAGCCCTCTTGACTGTGCCCCCATCTAAATCTTTCTACTGTCCAGGATGTTTCCTTTATCCCAGTTACAATCTGGGGTCTCGGCCCCACCCAGGCAGGTCTCGCTCCTTGCCCCTAAGAACTGCGACCCGCTGTCCTGGCAAGCTGACCCAAATACTGTCCCTGCTGGGACCCTGCCACTTCCCTGGTTTATCAAGACCAGTAAACGTCTTTCCTGGCTACGCTGTCCTCAGGCCCATCCCCCAGTGTTGTCATCTTCTTCTAGCCTTGGGTCAGCCACCCTCCCCCAACCCCCAGCCAGTCAGAAATTTGAAATTTTGTTACTAATATTTCCTCATCGGTACAATGGGGACAATGACACATTCTACTTCATAGGGTTGTTGAGGTGAGAAAAGAATGCAAGGAAAGAGAGCAGTGCCTGGCGCATGGTAAGCACTCAATAAAAGTTATGACTTCCTATTCTTTCTTTCGCATGTTAAGGCCTAGGGAAGGAAAGCTACTTGCCCAAGGTCACATGGCTAGTAAGAGGCAGAGTTGGAACTTGACCACAGGCTGTCTAACGCCAATGACCGTGCTCTCAACCACTGCCCACCACACCCCAGCCCCACGTGGCAGCCTGGCAGCAACAGAGGGCACAGAGATGCCAACAAATTTTACCTGTTCCAGAGTTGGCCAATACTGATCATTGGCTTGGAAAAGGGCCAAGGCGTAGACTCAGTGTTGCCTCCGCTGTGGAATCCTGCTGGCTTCAGAGTGTGAACAGAACATTCTGAGATGCCCAAGGGGAGACCAAGCCCAAATCTGCAAATGTGTAGATTCCATGATTGTGGGCAATGGACATGCCTCTTACTAGCTGGGTGACCTCGGACAAGTTATTAAACCTCTGTGGGCCTCTGTTTTTCCTTACCTGTAAATGGAGCCATCTCCCCATCTCCCAGGGGTGATGGAAAGCTCACGTGGGTGGAGGACCGTGATGGCACTTGGGAGACTGCCAGAATCTATAGACTGCCAGGAAGACCAGTGCTGCCTTAGGAAGACCACGCGAGGGGATGGCTCACAGCTGCCGACTCACCTGGTTTTTCCTCCAGCTAGTCCCTCAGAAGCAAGACCTACTAGGCCATGAGAGCCAAATGTGATCAACAGCCAAGGGTGTCCAGTCTCCACTGTGCAGGAATCCTTTCTTTGCAAGCATGTCGTTCTGCCTGTCGGGATGTTTTCAGCAAATCTCTTCCCAGAGGGTCTCATCTGAGGTCAAGTGCCTGCAGCAACTGCTCCATTTCTAAGCTACAACAGGCCAAATAAGGACTGGATCGGATTGGAGAAGATGGGTTATCCACCAAGACTCTTTCCTGAGCTGGGAAGGAAGGGTGATAACTGGACCATGCAGATCATTTCATATTACTTCTTTAGTAGAATTCATTTGCAAATATGTGTATCGGGCAGATGGGAGTGTTTTGACCAGTAATGGAAGTGGTTGGAATGCAGTGGAATGGTACCAGACCATGTTTTTGTGAGAGCTGATCGCTTTGGGAGATGGCTGAAGTCTTGTTCAGAAAAGGTTGGCCAGTTCATTCCACTGACAGGAGCGACACGCAGGAAGCCTCTTGAACAGGGTTCGAGAGAAACCCCAAGAGCCATCATGGATTGAGTGTCTGCTAAGTCTTGAGCACTTTACATATGTTACCTTTTCTCCTCTTAGTGCCCCCCACACTATGATTCCCATTTTGCAGGTGGGGTCCCTGAGGCCCAGAGGTCATATGACTTCTCCAAGGTCATGCAGCTGGCTGTAATAGCATTAGGACCAGACAGTGTCTGACTTCATGTCGGAGCTCCACTCGGTAAAGGTTAATGTCTCTTCCATGTTCTGGGCTCTTTGGGCTAACATGTGCCAAGAGCATGGGGTGGAGAAGTCTGAGGGCTTTCTTGGGAGCAGCTCCACGTTGGTGTTTCTGTTTATTGATCATTTATCATAAATTCCCATCAAGCCAGTGTCAACTTCATCTGACAAGGGTATTTTCCCCTTTGCTTTGGGGAATTTTTATTTCGAAAAAGAAAATCATAGCTCACACATTAAATTGCATTTAGTTTTCCACTTAATATAAGAGTTTTATGGAAAAGAATAAAAATTTATGAATTGAAGAGTATGATGATGAACCCTTAGATTGGGGGCCTGCTGAGAGTTGGCTCAGCCCTGCAGACACTTGCCCTCAGTTAACGATAACCCTCGCTGCCATGTAGGAGGGCTTACTGCGTGTCAGGCGCTGCAGATAAGGCATCTCATCTAATCTTCACAAAGTGATGTGAGGAAGGCACTGCCATTATCAGCCCCATATTGCAGATGAGAAAACTGAGGCACAGAGGGACAATACTCGCAGAAATCACTCAGTAAAAGGTAGAACAAAACTTCAATCCAGATCTGTCTGCCTCCAAAAACCCTGGTCCCTTCTAATACATAATCGGAGAGTTAATGATGGGTAGAGTCCTTCGCTACTCACCTGACTGACAAGGTAGAATACTGTGCACCCAAAGTCACCACCCAGCAGACTACTGGTTGACCTTGGCCCACAGCATGTTTTGTTGGATGAGCTTCAACTTTTCATTTCTCCCTTTGGTTTGAAATCTCTCTGATGGCTCACACAGGCCCCAGTTTTATACAGGTCCCACTACTGGCCTCCGCCTTCCAAGCAGAAAGACCCCAAAAGCTTCTCAGCAAAATCCTGTTGCCTCTACGTTGATCTGCAAGGTGTGGCTTGCTTCCCACATTCGCCTGCCCAGCCGGGGTGTGAGTTTGCCAGCCGGTTAAGACTGGCCTTACGTTTTATGGGCTCCTTCTGCCAGCCAGTGGCGAAGTAGGACTTGGGGCTGTTCTCTCAGCCCCTAGTGACCTTGCCACCCCCCCCCACCCTGGCGTCATCCCTCTGCCCCCACCTGCATGGCCGCTGGCTGGGGCCCCTGCCCCTCCACGTGCCCACACATCTGTTTGACCTCATCTCAGGTTGGGGCTGGGCTCCCCCATCTGCCGCCTTCCCAGTTTCTCCCGCCCCCGAGAATCGGAGGTCAGCGGGTGGTGCCAGGTGAGCCCTTGGCACCAGCTCTTCGCTGCAGGGTGTGCAGAACATTGGCAGAAGCCGCAGATTTGGTTGAACAAAGAGCCGGCTTTTTAATTATGCAGCCCAGACAGGCCCCACCAGCAGGCCGGTGGAGAGGGGAGCCTCCCGGGGCTGCCTGGCAGACGCCCTGATTTCCGCTCCTTCAAGTGGCCACTTGGAAAAGGAAGGAACCAGCAAGTAATCAAGCGTGAAGGACGGAAACTCTCCAGGTGAGGACAATCACGCCGCTGAGCTGGGGGTGCGGGGGTGGGGGGGCTGCTCTGCAGAGGGGGATTGGGCCAGTTCCAGACTGCAGGGTGTACCCAGAGCCTGCAGCTCAGAGTGCTCACCACGGGGCTGAGGGCTGGGGGGAGGCGGA